GACTTCTGGGCTCTATGCAAGCAGGAAGCGAAGGCTAAGGTAGAGCTGTAAATGGCCTGGGAGAATTTTTTTTTTTTTCTTTTTTTTTAGTTTCAGACATTTAAGGAAATCTCTGTCAAGTCACTAGCTAATGGAATCACTAAGCTATGCTTAGTGATCACAATCACTAAGCTAATGGAACAGAGACTCCAGCGGGCACTCAATACAATGAACATGATCTTTACAAAAATAGTTTAGAAAGTCACTAAACAAACAACTACAACCCAAAAGAAGCAACAACAACCAATTCTGGGGAGGGAAGAGAATCTGATTTCCAGTGTTACCAGATTATAATATTCAGGCTATCCAGTTATCGCCAAAAAACATTACTAGGCATGCAAAGAAATAAGGAAGTATAGCCCATTCATAGGAAAATAAGAAATTAATAGAAACTGTCCCTGAGGAAGCCCAGATATTGGACTTACTAGACAAGACTTTAAATCAATTGTCTCCCTACCTGACCTGGTCCCTGTCTACCTCTCCTACCTCATCTTGTACCAGTTTATGTTTTGCTCACTGTCACCAGTCACACTGGCTATCTTGCTGTTCTTCAAACCATCAAGGATGTTCCTGCCTTAGGCCTTTAAACACGCTGTGTATTCCCTCTGGAATGCTCTTCTCCTAGTTCTTTGCATGGCTCCCTCTGCATATCCTGGTCTCCGTTCATATTCTACCTCCTCAGAGGCACCTTTCCTGACCACCTTATCTAAAACAGCCATGCCCTCCCCCCCCCCACCTACTGTCAATTTCTGTTCCCTTTCATTGTTCACTTCATCACTCTCTGAAATTATTTTCATTAGCTATCTATTTACTTGTTCATTGTACATCTCCCTCACTAGCGTGTAAGCTCCCTGGCAGCAGGTACTTTATCTGTGTTGTTTCCTGCAGATCACCACCTAGAAGAGGGAGCCAGAGCCAGGCTAAATAAGCATTTATTAAATGAATAAATAAAGACACGTTATACATGTTGGAAAAAAGAATAAAAACAAGAAAAGCTTATAAAATTCCTGTGAGGAGTTTCTGTCAGCTCAGCAATTTTGCTTAGCAGTTGTTAAATGCATCTACTAGAGAAAGTCTGTCCATTGACAAGGCCTCAAATGAGGTGAGAAAGTAACGTCCGATGCCACTATCACCTGTCATTTCCATCCTAGGAAAGGTGATCACAGGTCAGGGGGGTGATGAGCGAGCAAACCTCTGCCCCCTTGAAAGCACCTGCCCGGTCAGGAACAGCAAGTCAGTCAGCGAGCTGCAGGCAAACCTCTCTGTGTGGGCCCCTGAGACCGAGAAAGCCAGGCCAGTTTTGGTGGTGGTGGTGGTAGAGGTGTCCTTGAGATTTCAGAGTAATCCTTTCTTTGGCAGAGGTTGAAAAACAAGGCGAGTAACATAAAAATGTTGCTTAGTATTGCCTTGAGTAAAGAATAAAGAGAGAGCAAACTGACTGGTCTTTGTCTCTCTTGTTCTGCAACTTCAGATTCACTCATTGTGCAGAGAAGAGAGTCCTCCCTGATTCTGGTACGGTTCTAAAACCACCTGAGAGAAGAAATGATTCTGAAGAATTAAGTCTATGAACAGCTGTGGGTTTACCCCATTAAGCACTAAAGTATTTTTATTCTGGATGAAAATCTTTCTAGGGCCTATTATATACATCTTTTACTTTTTCAATATGTTAACCACTTTCTTTTCTTCTAAAAGACACTATTATGAACTCAGTAACATTTCCTGAGGCAGGAGGGCATGGTGATTAAGAATATTGCTTCTGAGGTCAAAGGGCTTGTATTCAAAGCCTGGCTTTGCTACTCACCAGCTGGGCAAGTTAACACTCTGCACCCCAGCTTCTTTATCCATAAATAGGGATAATATTAGTATCTGCCGCAGAAGGTTCTTGTAAGGATTAAATGAATTAATACATGTAATGTACTTAGCACACTGCCTGGTATACGGTACCACTTAGAAAATGTTAGCTGCTGCTGCTGTGACTACTGTTACTATTATTATTACAGCAATACCTTTTTCTTGGTGCCTTGAGCTCATTATAAAAGTCTTAAATTATTATCATATGCTATAACCCAGTGATACCTTTTTAAAGGGTATAGGGTTACTGGCTTTTGCATAAAATGGTCCTGCATTTATTTGCTAGAGTGCTTTTATATGCTGTTTTATAGTTTTTTCATTTCCTTTGTAAGGTGTCTGGTTTTCACTTGTTGTTAGTCACTTTTCCTGTCTCTATCAGCCTCTTTCCATGCATCTATTTTTACAGGGGGGCATAAAAACCAGTAAACCAAGTTTGTCAGATATGTGTGTTAAGTAAAAGCTAATATGTTCTAAACTAAGTTGGAAAAGCTCTCCTATGAATAAAGAGAAGGAACTTGACTCCATGGACATCTCTTTTGGCTCTTTAGAGGAATTTTATTTTTTATTATTTTCTGATTCTTAGATAAATACAAAAAGTTATCAGATAATTAAATTTCTGGGGAGATACATGTAACAAAGGTTATACACAAATGTTAAAATTAAAAAGCCTCTAATTTAGTTCAAATAAATACTCATTAAGCTCCTTCTATATGCTAGAAACTAGGGGAACAAAAAGGAATGATATGGTCCTGAATTTCAAGAAGCTTGCAATCTAGAGGGGGAGCCAAAGCATAAACAAACAATATCAAGATAACGTAATAAGAGACACTGAAGATTTTCACACTGGGTAGTATGGGAGCCTAGAGAAAGCACCCTTAACCTAACTTGGGGATTCAGGGAAAGCTTCCTGAAGAGGATCATGCCTGAACTGAGCCCTGAGGACAGCCAGGTGAAGAAGGGTTGAATGGGCTATTCCAAGCATGGGAACAAGAGAGGTGATGAGGTAGGAAGCAGCATAGTGCTTTTGTGACAGTATGTAGGTGTGTAGGGATGTGTGTGTGTGTGAAGAACTAATAGTTTGATATTGCTGTGATTAAAAAAAAAAGTGAGATGGGAAATGGTGAGAAATGAAGCTAGGAGTTAGACTGAATAGGGGACAGAGTCAAGAGAGGTCCTTGTATGCCATGCCAAGAGGCTTGGAGGTTACTTGTAAAGAGATGGGAAGCCATTAAGAAAACTTTAAGGAGAAAAATGACAATTTTCAGATTTTCCTTTTAGATGTATAACTCAGACAGCATTGTGAAAGACAGAGCAAAGCTAGAAAAGACTGGGGGAAGAGAAACCAGTTATACATCTGCTGCAGTTAATAGACTAGAGATAGTAAAGCCTGAATGAGGGGAAGGCAACAGTTATGGTGAGGAAGAGAGGGGTCCCAGATGTATTTTGGAGATAAAATTAGACAGCTCTGGTGACTTCTTAGATGGAGGAGGGGTGGGTACAAGACTGAGAGGAGTCAAGGGTGACTACCAGGTTTTAGGCCTTAAATAACTGGATAGATGGGAGTACAATTAACTGACAGAGAAATAGCACAGTTTTTTTTTCTTTTGTTTTTAAATTTAATTTTTTTTCTCTTTTGAATAGTGGGCATAGAAAGAGAAATTAATGAGTTCAGGTTGAGACATGTTAACTTTGAGTTAATTATTGTAGAGGTCAGAACTGAAGATATAAATTTTACAGAAATTAACAAATAGATAAAACCAAGAAAGCAGACGGAAAGCTCTAAGAAAATGTGTGAAAAGAAGAGCAGTAGAACAAGGGTGGGGTGAGACACTGGAGAATACCAGTGCTCAACGAAGGGCAGCGGGGGATGGCCTGTGAAAGAACCTGGGACACCACACTGAGAGGTACGAGGAGAGAACAGTGCCGCGAAAGCCAAGCAGGAGGTTCAGAGGGGCGGTCAACAAAGAGGCTCAACACACTTCTAACAGCTGCAGATTTTGAGCACTCACGACACGTCAGGCATTGTGCTATTTTACACATTTTATCTCGTTTAATCTATTATCTAAATGCCATAGATGACGAATCTGAAATTCAGCAAAGCCACGTAACTTACGCAAGGTCGTAGGTGAGCTGGCTGAACTGGGCTCTGAACCCAGATCTGCTATATCACAAAGCCCATGTTCTTAACTCTGCTGGGGTAAAATAATTTCTTCAGGATGCAGCTTAATATTATCATAATAAGGACTGCTATATATTGCTTTTCCAAGAAGCATATCTGAAAAACTAATAATCTCAAAGGAATATTTAATATCTAATGAAGTCATTATATTTGATCACTTTATATAATCAAAATAGATTATTTTGGTGATATATTTCTTCATAATCTTTTTATTTCATAAATAGTACACCTGTCAAATTTCAGTGAGAACAAGAAGGTGCAACAAAAGGCAATCCACTCAATTGATTAGAGCACTGCTCCAATAAAGCCAAAAGGAAGGTCCTGGATGGACCAGTTAGTGTCCCTCAGAGGAAAACTAAGTGTCCTGGACTTAGACACCTAAGTCTACTTAACTTTCTCACAAATATTACTATTGGTCTCAAGGAAAACCAGAGAGGGTGCGCATAGTTTAGCACAAACCTACCACAAACATGGAAAAGTTAATTAAAATAGGTATTCTAGGGGCCGGCCCCATGGCTTAGCAGTTAAGAGCACGCACTCCACTACTGGCAGCCCGGGTTCGGAACCTGGGCGCGCACCGACGCACCGCTTCTCCCGCCATGCTGAGGCCGCGTCCCACGTACAGCAACTAGAAGGATGTGCAACTATGACATACAACTATCTACTGGGGCTTCAAGGAAAAAAAAAAAGGAGGAGGATTGGCAATAGATGTTAGCTCAGAGCCGGTCTTCCTCAGCAAAAAGAGGAGGATTAGCATGGATGTTAGCTCAGGGCTGATCTTCCCCACAAAAAAAAAAAAAAGGTATTCTATAGAAGGTTTATTTTAGATAATAAATTATTATCCACTTAGAGAATAAGAAAGTCACATTCCTATTATAGAAGTTGTAATTTTCTTATTTCCCACTAGAGGAAGCAATAGTATTACTGTTACCATTTGGTGGATAAAAGACAGCATATTCTTCTAGTCCTAGTTTTCCTGTAAGAGAAAACCACAGAGGGTTTCAGTATGATTAAATAAATAAACAAAACTTTAAAAATTAACTAATTTTGTGAATGTACTAATAATTGATGGAATTTCAAAATTGCTATAGTACAATCTCATTTCATTTCATGATATAGAATTAATCTGAAAATGCCAGCCAATCTTTTGATATTAGCAAACCCTTTCATCAATTAAAGTCAATAATATAAACTTAAGTCCAAGATAAGCGATACAAAATAATTAAAAGAACAAGCGCCTTCAAGATCCTTAAGAACTTAAGAAGAGAAGCATCTATTTATAAGCATAGAATTGTTTTGCTAATTATAAACAATTCTATTCATTAAAGCAAGGCTCTGCAATGCCTCATTAGTTTCAATTTTTATGGAATGTGCTTAAAGTTAAAAATTAAATGTCTTTAACTATAGGATGGTCATATTTTCTGAATCCCAAAACAGTTCATACAATCCGAGAATGAAACATTAGGATATGTTTGCTAAATTTTCTGGCACAGGCTTTAATTGTTTTAGAGGAGAGGGAAACTGATGACAGATTGGTGGAAACGGTGAGATTTAGTCTAGTTCTTCAAAGACCTATGATTTTGGCGGTACAGGAGTGGGAATCCTTCCATATGTGGGACTACATGGAGGCTAGAATGAAGACAGGGTAATGTGGAAAATCAGGGAAGCAAATTTAGCTAGGTTAAGACAGGATCAACTGATAGAGGTCCTTAAAATCTTGGCTGAGTTTAGAGGTGAGCCCATTAGATAATTAAGTTGCACAATCAATTTCTCAGAAGATGATATTAAAGAAACAAACAAGCAAACAAAAGGTTTCTATAAGTTCAATTTAAAAGAAATGGAACTGACGAGCCCCCACACTGGGGGAGCCTGAACCCAGCACCAGGTAATGTGGCCCTGTCCTAGGGCAGGGGTTGGAGCAACCTGACAGAAAGTTAGACTTTGGAGATACAGGAGAAACAGTTTCTTTACGGGAACAGCAGAACAACCACACATAATAGGGTTATAAGCTTTCAGTGCTGGATGTTCACCACTTCATAAAAAGGAGAAATTGGGAAAGGCTTCCAGCTGAAATGAGTTCAGTTGTCAGGTGATAGCAGGATATTGAAATAGTGATATCTTGTGGGCACTAGTGATAAAGAAGAGAAGAAAGCACTAAAATAGAAATTAGAGAACTAATAGCATATAAATTATATCAAAATTTTAAGTGTGGTGGAAAATTTTGAGAGAGGAAACAGAAAGTCAAAAAAGCAAATTCATGTGATAAACTCATAGTTAGAAGGGAAAATAAAAGTCAACAGATATGACAAAAACAGCAACAGAGGAGAGAGCAAACAGGAGACAGAAAGAAGGTAACTTCAAATGCTGCTTCTGGGAACCACTTCCCTATGATCTGTGATAGGTTGCTTGGGCACTCATTTAAGTGGTAGTGAAAGGATGGTTACAATAATCTGAGATAAATATTATTAATTTACAATAAAAAATTTGACGACACCAATATATGCTATAAAATACAACAGTCGGTATCATTATGTAAGTCTTAAAGAATACTTCCTTTATGTTACTAAAATTTTACCTCTTATGTATGATTTCGGTGGTGAAGCACTGTTGTACGCAAAGTGACCCAACACAGATGTATCCCGGGAAAAACAAAGTAATACCTGGGTATAACATTGGAAAAAACAAACAATTAAGCACTGTTTTACAACAGGTAATTTATTGCTATTTCCTGCTTGGGAGGCATTGAGGTAGAATCTTTCAAGTTCAGTACTGTGCCTCTCAGTGGGAAGAGTGCCCTCTATTGGTACCTATGGTAAGTGTTACAGTGGATGCCAAGTGTGATGGCGAAAGTTCGTCCAAAGATTTCTCACTGCTAGCCACCTAAACCTTGAACAACAACAGAAAATGCAAGTCACTAACTACCAGTTAACTCTTTTATTGTGCTTTCTATCTGGAAAAGAGAAACAGATGGGAGAAATTTAACAAGATGAGAAATGTATAGGGGGGGACCCTAGGTAACTACAGTGGCATAGAACAATTTGGGAGGTGCAGGAAACTGGAACCAGACTCATTGCTGGGATGCAGCAGTGAGCTGATGGTCATGTCAGGATGGGAGGAAAGGCAATTCATGATATCTAGAAGGGATGGCAGCAGCAGCAGAACAAGTGGCAGCCCAATGCAGGTTAGGAGCTGGTAGCTCTGACGAGCAGGTAGAGTGTGGCAACTCTACCTGGAGATGAATATAGGTAGGGCAGAAAGTCAGAATCAAGGATGTCCATTAGGAGGAAGTGGATTGCTGACATTAGCCTGGAATTTTGGGGCAGGGGGCCAATCCCCAGAAAGGCAATTAGTGACAGGAAATCTGAGTTTTGCTATTAGAATACCTGGCATTCAAAAGATGTTACTGAGAAAAGAATTCGAGAATGACAGGAAAAGGCAGAAGCCCAGTTAACAGAAGAGAGGCACAAAGTCAGAGCCAGACTAGCAGCAACAGTGAATGGAGAGGGGAACTGTGGGTCCAAGACACAAGAAAGGGGGCCCAGCTTTAGAAAAAGGATAGCTATGGAGATTGGGCATCAGTCAGGCCCAATAGTTAAACGTGTACCAACCATTGATTTATTTTTATTATATTTTATTATATGTACTGCCGAAGTGAGCCCTATTTTTGTTATATTTTAAAGGACTACACAAGCAATACATATTTATTATAAAAATTAGAAATACAGATCATCAAAAAAGGAGTAAAAACACCCATAATTCACCAGTGTTAATATTTTGATGTATATCCTTTCAGACTCTTCTTACACATGCATATATAAATTTTTCAAAGAAAACAGGATTATGCAACTGTTATATAATCTATTTTCTCTCAATATTATAAAACATTTCCTACTCACATTTTTTAATGTTGCATAATATTCCACTACATGGATGAACAACAGTTTACTTAACCTGTCTTTTATTGTTGAACATTTAATTATTTCCACTTTTCCCCAACTATAAATAATGTTGCAGTGAACTTCTTTACAGCTAGATATCTATGTACACTTTTATTCAAATTCCTAAAACTGGACTAGCTGTCTGGTCAAAGTGATGGGCATTTTAAATCTAAAACTTGTGATACACATTGCCAAAGTGCCTCCCAAAAAGGTTCTGTTTTTGTTTTTAACATATACAGCAATAAGATAGAGTACATTTTTCTCTTATTCTCATCAAAATGGGTTATCATCATCTTATAGATAAAAATGCCATCTTGCTTTAATTACTAATGAGGCTGAACACTTTTCCATTTGCATTTCTTTTGTTATTTTTCAGTTCATCTTAGTTCATTTTAAAATTGATGTTTTTTAAATTATTGATTTGTTTAAATTTTTTGTATACTAAGGATTCTAACCTTTGGTCTAATCATATGTTATAAATAGCTTTTCTCAAATAATTATTTTTGACACAGAGATGTTTTTAATTTTTATATGCTCAAGTCTACCAATATTTTCTTTCATGCTTAGAAAGTCCCTACCTACATTTATAATATTCTATATATATTCGCCTAAATTATATAAATCATTAGTGTTTTTCATCAAATATTTCTGGTTCTTCCCCTTTGGGAACATGCTAGCTTATCTTTTCTAGCCACTTTGGTCTCAGGTATGGCCGTATGATTTGCTCTTTCCTCAATGAAATAGATATGTGTCACCTGAAAGTTTCCAAGTGGAAGCTTCAAAAACCAGAGCAGTTAACCAGGTTCCCTCCTTCCCTCTGCACGGCAACCATCAGTGTTCCAGACAGTGGTTACTCCATCAGCCTGGGTCTCGGAGTGAGGATGACACAGAGCTAGGTTCTCATCCTATCTGGGATGAACATGACCGTGAGCAAGAAATAAACTTTGTTGTTTTAAGCCACTGAGATTTTGGATTTGTATGTTACTGCAGTATAATCTTGCACATCCTGACGAAAACAGGAAATTGTCTAGAATTTTTAACAGATTCATTTTGTGGTAAAACCATTGACCTATCTGGAATTTATTTTGAAACTAGACTGCTGGAGTTCAAATTTTAGCTCCTCCACTTACTAGCTGTATGACACTGGGCAAGTTATTGGACTTCTTGGTGACTCAGTTTCCTCAAATGGAATATGTTTACAATAATAATACCTACATCAAAGTCTATTGTAGGAATTAATTAATATAAAAAAAGTGCTTAGAACAGTGCCGAGCACATAGTATTATTAAAATGTTAGCTGCAATTACTATTACTACTATTACTTTAATTTTATTCTATATTCTGTAGTTTTTTCCCCAATATATTTAATTTTGGGTTTGTTTTTATTTATATGACTCAAGATTGTCATGTTTCTTCAACTTGAAATTTTGTGTATCCCCATTTCTGGAAAATTCTCAGCCATTATCTTTTTGAATGATGCCTCTCCCACATTCTCTGTTCACTTCTACCCGACTCCTATGAGATATAAGATTGAGCTACACTTATTCAACCTGCCATATCTCTTAATTACTTTTATCCCTCTGTGCTCCATTCTGGATGACTTCCTCAGATTTTTTTTTTTTTAAATAAGTTCACTAATTCTTTCCTTCTGTCTGTACTACGCACCAGGTACTGTTCTAGGTGCTTGGTGCTTGGGATACAACAAAGGAAAACAGACAAACCAACAAACAAAAACCCTCCCTTGTGGAGCTTAATTATAGTAGGGGGTAATAAATAGTAAACATTATAAATAATTACATTATATAGTATATTAGGCATTAAGTGCTATGAGAACAAAGTGAAGGGGAAAGAGGGAGGAGTGGTTGCCATTTTAAAGAGAGTGGTCAGGGTAGGCTGCATTAAGAAGGAAATATCTGATCAAAGACTTGAAAGGACTTGAAAAAGTTAACATATAGATATTTGGGGGAAGAGCATTCCAGGCAGAAGAGCCAACAATTGCAAAGGTGCTAAGGCAGGAATATGCCTGATGTATTAGAGGAACAGCATGCAAACAGCGTGGCTGGAGCAGATGAGGGGGAAGAGATATGCGAGAGAGGTAAAGGAGGACAAATTATGCAAGGCATTGCAGGCTATTGTCAGGATATTGGCTTTTATTGGGAGTAAAATGAGAGCCATTGTAGGGTTTTCAGCAGAGGAGTGCAATGATCTAACTTATATTTTATAAGGATCACTGTCGCCACCATGAAGAGAACTGGCCATGAGGGGCAAGGGCAGAAGCAGGGAGACCCTTTAGGAGACTACTGGTAATTGCAGGGACTAGGCAGCAGTGTGTGGTGGGCACTGGGATGTGCCATCCAGATCCCTCTTCAGGAATACAGGACTTATTACAGATGTTAGTAGTGCTGCCCTCAGCAGTCAGCTCCTTTCAGGGAATGCTTCTCCTGAAGAGAGCTGTTTTGTTTAAGGATCATGCCCTTTTCCTAGACTGGCCCACATCCAATGACGACTGACGCATAAGATAAAGGTCCGATCCTCTTGCCCCCATCTCAGGACAGGTCTGAGGGGTTATCTCACCTTCAGAGCTCTCTGCAGCATTAGCTGAGGTTTCCACTTAAACTGAATTGCAGCTGGACTTCTCCCTCTCCTCAGTCCTGCTTCATTCACTGCCTTTCTACAGGTGTTGATCCCAAGAATAGTCCCTAATAAATCTTTGGCATACTAAACTCCATCTGAGTCTGCTTCCTTGGGAACTCATCTTGCAACACAGTGCAAGTGGGGAAAATGGTCAAATTCTATATGTAATGCAAAGGCAGGGCCAACAGTATTTTACTAACACATTGGATGGTGTGTGCGAGAGAAAGATAGGAATCAAGAATGATGCCAAGTGGAAGGATGCTTGATTCTGAATAGGTGAAAAGACGGAGTTACCATCAACTGAGACAGGAAAAGTTGAGTGGAACAATTTTGGGAGTGAGATCACGGGTTCAGTTTTCAACATACTAAGTTTGAGATACCTGCAAAATATCTAAATAGAGATGTCAAATAGGCAGTTGGAGATTCTAGTCAGGAGTATGGGAGAGAGGTTTGGACTGAAGATACAAATTTGGAAGTTATCAACATACAGATGGTAATGAAAGCCACAAGATAGGTGAGCTTGGTGAAATCACCACATGGGTGAGTGTAACTCGAGAAAAGACGACCAAGAACTGAGACCAGTGACACTCTAACATTAAGATATTAGAGAGAAGGGGCCGCCCGGTGGTGCAAGCAGTTAAGTGCGCATGCTCCGCTGCAGCGGCCAGGGTTCGCCGGTTCGGATCCCGGGTGCACACCGACACACCACTTGTCAAGCCATGCTGTGGCGGTGTCCCATATAAAGTGGAGGAAGATGGGCACAGATGTTAGCCCAGGGCCAGTCTTCCTCAGCAAAAAGAGACGATTGGCAGATGTTAGCTCAGGGCTAATCTTCCTCACAAAAAAAAAAAAAGATATTAGGGAGAAGAGAAGGAACCAGTCTTGGAGACTGAGGACTAACCCAGAGAGGTGGATTTCCTACAATGCTAACGAAGGAGCTTTAGGACCCCTCATTAGCACGGGTCCCTTTGAGTGCTGGGAATTGCTGGGAGATGGTGTGTTCTAGGTAAGAAGTCACGTTGTAATCAGAAAGCATTTCCATGTATGCATTTCTAGGAAACTGCCTAATAAGATCTCAGAAAAAAGGG